GGAATTGTATGCTGATTTAAATTATAAATAACTGGCCTTTTTCTTTGTTTATATGTGTTCTTAAATTTAATTGTTATACTCTTTCCTTTGTTCATATGCATAATGTATTCTGAATCTATATGTTCCATATCAATGAATAATAGGTGGCAGACATTAATTTGATTCAGTTAATAATATAATTCCAATGGCCTACACTAATGCGGAATGAACTCACACTAGAAGAGGATTGTTATCTTAATGTTTTATGCCATCTATATCTAGTGCTGTAGTGTAGCTCATCTCACCTAATGAAATAGGTTCGAAGGGGTTGCATTGATCAAAACATTTATAAATGTCATGAAAAAAAAAAAGAAAAGTAGGAAAGAAAGAAACATGCCTACAACTTCTAAAATTACAATAAAAGAACAAAGTCACAACATTACTGAATTTTATTGAGAAAGAATACCAAAGCAGGAAAGCAGACAGAAATCAACACCATTAATAGAAGGCTGTATCAGGGAAGATAGACATACCTTACTACAGGCCAAGCTACCCCATACAGTAGACAACTCAGGATAAACAGGTGGTTGACGACCCCCAAAGTCATCAAAAGCATAATCTACGTAGTTAACAAGAAAGCGATTACGTTCAGCATCATCAACTGACTCCTGCTGCACCCTACAAAAGGATATAAAAATCCTCAGTTACTTTTTTTCTCAAACAAAAAATCAGAGCATACAATCGACAGAAATTCAAAAATAATAATAATAACATGAAAAAAAATGGAATCCCAAAAAATTGGTTACCTGGTAAAATATAAAACAGTGGAAGCATGCTAATAAAAAGTTTTTTAATTAATTAGAATATTCCAGAAGATTAAATTAGAAGTTTGGTTGCTAGAAGTAAACTATGAATTGATATCGTGAACATTTATGAATCTGGGGTAGACTACTGATAGGCTGCACATTCATCCAAAAAAAAATAATAATAATAATCTGCACAGTGATGGATGTGGAGTAGACTAGTAAATAGCTAGACAGTGCATTTTGACTATCTAGGCACCTCAGACACATTCAATCTGCTGAAATAGGGAGCAAATGCACCAAAAAAGTGATTTGGTAGCTCATGGATAAACTCTTATCTCTTGCAAGCCACAGATTTCAATATGGAAAACTGCACACCATCCATGAATTTACACTTCTTTTTGACAACAAAACGATAAAAGAACTTGATTTGCAACAAGCTACTGTGCCTTTAGTCACCAAATGAGACGATCTTTTGATAGGAGCCTCCTCTTCATAGTTTTCAACCTCTTGCTGGTTCCTTTTTCCTTTTTTCTTTTTTTATTTTTTTAATTAATCTGTTCTTTCTTCTCTTTCGTGTTCATAGGAATATTGGCTCCTTTAAGATCAAAACAGATTTAAACCCATAACCTTCATCCCAAAAACAAGGTTATAATACTTAATCGATAACAATTTGGTTAACCTCCAGTTGGTTGCTAGTATCCTTTATCAGATGTATGACCTAGAAAAGGCAATGATCTATTAGTTTATACACATCCAGCTAAACATAAATTTAGACCTTATTTGCATTAGTACTGGCTAATTACAAATACTTGACTCAGGGGTCAAGATAAGGGATTGAAATGGCTAAGCATGCTGACTTTCTTAAAGTAGCAAAAATGAAGATGCATAAAATGGTGTAGTATAATATAAACATTAAAACTAAGGTTTAGTAATGAAGATTTTGAATTTCTACACTTTCATCCCAAATTGAATGATCAAACCTGTTTATCCTCCATAAACTCATGTGTCTCTATGTTCTAATGATGATGATGAATGACAAATCCTAGCAAGTTTCAATCAATGCAATAACCAAACAACATACCGAGTCAAGATGTTAACCATGGCTCTAAATGCTGCAACCTGATGTGACAGAGAAAACAATAAATGAGCAGCATGTAATAATCTATCCAACTTAACATGGTGGAACTTAATTATAAAACTCTTCCAGCTTGGAGATTTAGATGAAAGAGGGCATGTACACAAAAGGCACAAGTTTGAGAGATTTAAATCATTGTTAAAACTAAACTGAGAACCTGAAGGGTTTCTCCACCATTTCCTATAAGATGGAGAAGCATGTTCAGAATTGGGTGAAGAAACTGAAGCAAAGCAATTGAATCGACATTCTTCAAGCTATTAATTGCCTGCAAACCAAAGTAGAGTGCTAATAAGTGCGCCATTTTTTGACTATTGAAGAAATTTATTGTTTGATAACATCAGATTCCATGACACAAATTTCATACTTCTATGTGTTTTATGTTTTTTCCTTTGATTGGCAAAGAGTAATATTTACTAATAAAACTTAAGAGTGAAGCACAATGAATGCCACCACCAATCTCAAAATCTAAGTATTTCAGTGCTGGAAAACTCAAAGCCAATTCAATGACAACCTAATTAACATAAGAACCTTTTCCCCCATTAACCCACATTTTCCAGTCAACAACCTTCTGCTTCCACAAGGTTTTCTAACAGTCTGCAGTGTTGTGAAAAGTTCTAGGCGATGGTGTGGCGTTGAGGCACTGCCTAGTGCCTAGATGCACCCTAGCATTTTCCTTCTTTTTTTTTTTTTTTTTACTTTTTAAAATTCAAAAAATGTCAAAAAATAGAAAAAAAAAAAAGAATAAATACCAAAAAAAACTAAAAAAGAAAAAAAAAAGTTTAAAAGCAAGTATTACCATAAACTCATCTATAGAATTGACAAATTAAGAATTTTTTTTTTTCTTTTTGCTCTATCACCTTGCCTAGGCACTAGGCGGTGGAGCTAAGCAAGCTATTTATTCTATTTTTTAGATTTTCTGTTCTATTTTGGCATTTTTTTGCAAAAAAGTTAAAATGCCTAGAGCGTTTAGGTGGCACTCAAGCAGCACCAATGGTGCAAGGCAGTGGCCCAACACCTAGGCACTGCCTAGCGTCTTTTGCAACACTAAGACACATGAAACCACCACCACGGCAACCCAGGCAAGGCATCAGCCAGCACTCCGCCTAGTTGCGCATTTTTTAACACTGTTGTGAACCCTTACAAACAAAATATGACACCTGAATCCCGCATGCTGCCTTGGTTGCAAGAGAGTAGTGCAGACACTAAAGAAATCAAGGACGAAAAGAAGCATAAGCATCAACAACATCAAGTACTGCAATCTATTTGATTTTGGACAGAATCAGGACCCTATACAGGCTACATAGTTATATTAGATCAAAATTAATGTTCTTTAAATTTTAATTAATTTTTAAAGTCAAGACATTCTCATCATGTATATGTTTACAGCAATTTCCACTCTGCAGTATTTGAGATTATGCTTAGTCCACTGTTTTAAATTAGTACCCGTTAACTGGAAAAATCCCACATTGGTGAATTAAAGGGAAACCTATGGACTTCAAATACAATGTGGTACTCCACATATTACAATTGGTTTAATTTAGATAGTTACATGGTATCAAAGCCCATGGCCAAGTTGTATGAGCAATCCAAGGGGGTTAGTTGATGTTAGGAGAGGTCGTGAGAGTTGCTACAAATTTGCAACCCTGGAAGGGTTGTTGGAAGCCCTGGTGTGCAATCGGAGGTGAGGTTGACAGTGGACTGGTGTGCTATGACCATGTGACAGGTGCATCTATGAGGGTGTGTCACGTGTAAGAATCTCATATCAGTGAATTATAGGAAACCAATGGATTACTCAATTTCCTCTCACCTCTTAAACATAAACAACCTAAGTCCCAACAATTCAAATCCAAAATCCCTCTTGCTACTCAATATCAAAGATAGATAAATGAGAGAGACAAAAACCTAACTAAAGTCAGACCCAAAGACTACTTTTATTGTATAATCTACCTAAAGATCCAGTCACTGAGATAAATTATGGTTTGAAAAATACTAACCATATGGAAAACAATCCAATTCATGACATAGTGTTTTGCATTTATAAAATTGACATGCTGTATCACCAATTAAGAAAACTGGATTTGGGGAATGTTTAAATCAATTCAAGCACAACCATAGAATAATTTCAGTTGACTTGAAAATTATAAAACACCAAAACTAAAGAGATTATGAATACTAATAATGGATTTAACCAAGACAATTGTAAAGACTAAAGAAAGAAGCATAGACAATATACCTCCAAAAGTTCAGAACCCCATGGAGGACTTGTTCGAAGAGTGTGTCTATCATATTCAAGAAAAAAAATCCCATATGCGCTCATTAATTGGGTAAAAAGATGAGCAAAGCCTTAATCGCAATTTAAAAATAGTTTTTCCATCTTCCATATAAACCAGCCTCTCCTACAATTAAAAGACATGGATTAATAAATAATCATCTGACACAGTAAAATGTAACCATCCATGTGATAATGAAGCTAGGCTAGTTTTATTCATAACAAACCATTGAAAAATTGGAATCTTAAACACAACAAAAAAGAATTAGTTACATAATAGGGTGTGAATATCATTTTATAATTTACAACATAGAAAGGTTCAAACAAATTAATTTTTTCTTGTGAACAGAGGTTAACACGTCAAAATAAAAAGACCTTTCCATTTTCTTGAAGATACTGTGGAACTAGTTCTTTCATAATCAGTAAGAGAAATTTCTGATCGCAACCTGAGTACAGAACGTAGTTCAACAGGGTGAAATCATTGAATGATGTAACGAGGAAAAAAATGAAATGATGCAGATAACAAAAGCATGAGCAAAAGTCATGTCTAAATTACTAGAAAATATACTGTTATGGCATTTAGTTGGCATCAAAGAAGGCTAGGACCTAATACAGACTAGAAAAATGCTATAATATCTGGTTTCTCAGTTTCTTTATGACAAAAAGCTGCTGGTATTTTATTTTTATTTTATTAAATTTTAGGGGATGGGTAATAAAACCCAAAGCCATTATCTGGTATAGATAATTATTAGTCTCATTACCAAATCTTAATTGCAACTGCCTTAGAAAAAAAGGCTAAAGGATAAATAAAATTGTTCCCAATTCAACCCTTCTCTATACCCCACTCAAGTGTGACCTGTACCAAAATATTAAATTTCTTGAGGTATAAACTATAAACAATCATATATGATTTTTATGATTCAATAACTTCATACACTAAGCTTAGGTAATGAGAGTTCTTGATGTTAAATACCACCTCTGT